ACAGCTCTAAATAAGCTGAATTAGCTAAGAATAATGCCAATGTTTAGTTTATTTAGTAGTAAGTAAATAAACAATCCTTACTATAAAATACAGAAGAAAATAACTGGGATCTTGTACTGATTTCTTAACAAAATGTTCATTCTGTTATGTTTGTGAACTGTCTGAGATTTTTTTGAAAATGTTTAGAGGAAGCAAGTATGTTCCCCTGTGATGATGATATAACAAGTTCCTTCAATTTCCCCAATAATGACTTTAAAATTGCTCAGTACTAAAAACTAGAGACACATTTTCAAACAACACTGTTCCTTTCCACTGCACAGATGATGTGCTCAGACAAAACTCACTCAACCACCAATTTTACTTCAGGATATGATCTGACACTACAGCCAACTCAATTTAGTGGTAAGCTTTCTACCGAAAGAGATGTTTTGTCCTCCATGCGGCCGTAGCATCCACACAGTGAGTTCCCTTCTGCATAGCACTTCTCTGCGGGGTCACCCAGCTGCAGCCACACAATCACTGGAGCTTTTACAGGGGCAGAAGCAAGTAGAGACTTGTGGTTTTGGAAGACTCAGCTAGAAGGGGGAAGAAAAGATCAACCCTTTGGCAGCAACTCACTATTAGATCAGTTTATCTGTAACACTAAATTATACCCTCAGGAGCTTAACCAGGAACTGTGTGGTGCTAGTTCTCTTTTAATGTACTACTTTATACGTAAATCTCACCCCCATTAAAATTAATGGGATTCTGGCTATCAATTTCAGTCAGTCAGGATTTCACTTCTGTACACTAGTGGCATGCAAATAATAAACACTAATGCAGACACCTAGGTGGTTAGGTTTAAATAATAAACAAAAGCTACAGGTCCTGATTTCATTGTACTGAGAAGTAACTCTCTTTCTAAATGAAAAGCTGATATACAAAAACATAGGCATCGCTAAACAATCAGCTTTTCAGAGGACTCTATGTACAGCATGAGTATACCAATCTTGACCTTGTAAGGCAAGCGTCAAGATCTTCTCACAGCAAAGGAGACTCAAGTTAAATATACTTACTTCAGACAGCTCATTTTAGAGAAGGAACTTTAGGATTGGTTGACAGACAGGAGATGGCAATGGCTCCCTAAGGACTCATTACTCTGTTGTTGGAGGGAAACAGTCTAGGTAAGCAACTAGGGCCCACACCAACTCAAAATCAAGGCTTCCACAGCCACTGTGATTTCAACTCTACCCATGGCTGAGCACGCAGATTGTCTAGAAGCACTCACAGCAGCCAGATCTACAAGATAAAGGATGTAGCCATGGCATAAGAGCCAAAGTTTCAGCTTTTATTATTGTCCAAAAGTTGAAGAGCGTTATGGTATCATTTCTCTCCAATGGTCCAAAGAACAGCTAGAAGTTAAAACACTTTCATGGTTAAATTATGTTTCTTTCTCAACTTAGTATTTCTATTATTTGATCTCATAATTACATTTTTCCAAGTATTTAATTCAATAATAAATCATTACATTACTATAACCAAATTGGGAAGAAGCTACAATATATAAATTAAATAATGCATATTAGTCCCATAAAAGACAGAAATTTGAGTTTATGTTCTGATTTTGACTGAAACATTGAAGAAGCAATTTTGTCCCACTTTCTCAAGCTAACGAAGTGCACTTAAAAAACTTACTGAAGGCGAACATTACTCTTAAAACTTCAAGAAAAACTAGAATCACTGAGAAAAGTGCTTTAATTGCATGACATATAAACAATTTCAACTATATTCTCATATAAATAAGAACTGAAGTTTGTCATATTTTAAAATGTATAGTGGGGCTTAAGTTTTAGTGTTAATTCTTAAGAAGATTCAGGTATAGGTAACTATATAAGTAAAGTAAAACTAAATAAAACTCAATGCTAAGTTTTTACTGAGGACCATACTATGACATATACCGAAAGATGCCTTCCAAGTGTACCCTTCCTCCTTCTCTCACTTCCACCTGAGTATCACACCTTGTGCTGCAGTGGAAGTGATTTGCTTTAGAATGTGGCACAGGTAAGACCAGTGCATAAAGTTACCAAGATCAGAAGATGAATCTGTTATATGCACACTCTGCAAGTTAATTAGTATTTTAATCCATAAAATGCATCCAGAGAGTAAGGATATCAAAACTGCATCTTATAATTGTGCTATATTACACTGTCTCACATGAGCAATAGAATTACTGGAATTTCAGGCACACACGCGTTAAAAACAATCAATAACTGCTCCTTTTTTAGCTATTACTGAGTAACCTCATTCTGACTTTGTGGGATTTCCACTGAAGAGGGGTATATTTCAAATATAAAAGTATCATGCATCATACAGGCATCTTTAGCAGCAAGAAAATGGCATTGAAGATAAATATGCATAAGCAGCTTTTTCTTTAATATAGCTCAGATTTGCTGCTAGATCACGGCATGTTTCTCTCTCATCATTAAAGCCTCTGAAATACACTCTAAAGGAAAGAAAGCTGATCTACTTATAGATCAACAGAAGGCATGTGAAGAAGCCTTGCTAACAATACTTCTTTTGCATGTAAGTGAGAGCAATTGGTATCCCATCTGGAAAAGCACACTAGTCTGAGATGATAGAAAACTCTTGCCACTGGCAAAGTTTATGGTATTAATTTGTAATGGTGGGTTTAGGGAAATGTACTAAACTAATGCTCATTTACTTGCATAATTATGTGTTTTCTACATAAAATGACAGGCTTTTACCTTGCCAATACTGGCACTCAGTTAATGGAAAACAGGACAAAGCGGGTGCACAAGTATGCCAGCGCTGATGAATGTCAAGCTCAGGTTACAGATTTGCTTCTTACGTTAACATCTGTACAATGTACCATCTAATGCATTACCCTTCAGACTCTTAAATCTGTTATTTTAAATATTTTCATTGCAGTTTAGCTTTGATTATTAATCTAAGAGGCAAAAAGTTAAACTGTATCTTATCTTCTTTGCCACTTGATATGTTAAACAGCCTTCATACCTTAAATCCACTTTAATAAGGCATGCAATTATTAAAGCATTACAGAATGGCCCCAGAGCACACAAGCTCCATTAAATTTGCTTACATCTAATTACGTCTGCCTGAGGCAGGTGAGAAATTGACTCTGATAAGATCTTTCTTTTACCTGTAGCCAAAAAAAATGAAAAGGAAAAAAATCTCAGAGTGGTTTTCTATCTAATTGCTATCTACAAATATTTATGGTATTTGCTCCTTCAATGAATAGCCCACAAAGCACTCTTTGTGCACTAACTAGTGCATTTTAAGTTTTTTTAAGACTGTAGAATACAAAAGACAAGCTGGTCTTGCTTCAGGGATAAGACAGGTCATCAGTGATGTCTACTTGTGAAATAGTTTTATCTATTATTTAAATCATATATTTTCTTTAAAAAAGAACTCTGATGTGAAAAAATGTTATATATTCTTTTTGGACTTTTATTTTTTCTTCATGTCAGCATAAACAATGAAAGCATTCTATTTTATGGAAGAATAACAAATATAAAAATGTACTTTACATGGCCTTAAAACTATTCTTTTTTTATGATTTTTCTCCAATTCAAAAAAAAAGTGTTTTAAAGTAGAAAACACAGTATTTAACTCCTAGGTATTTGTAACTGGCCTTCCAAAATTCAGGAAAATGTTAGTAGATTACATTGCTTGTTACTTATAAGTAAATGACGGACTGTGGTATTTCTAATCATTTTAATCCCACTAGCAGCCCTAGCAGATCCTAGAGAACAATACAGCGAGATCATCATAGTGATGATGTAAAAACTAGCTAGAAACTATACCAGCTAAAGAGGAACAAATACATTAAAAAATAAAGAATTAATTAAAAAAAAGTCATTGAATTCATCCAGTGTAAAGGGATTAATTGAATTGTTATTTAATATTTAAGGAGAAATTACTTTCTTATAAACCATTCTTTAAAGAAAATAGACATTAGGAATTTGATGTAAAAGTTGCTCGGATAAACCAGCCATCAGACTTCTAATGCAAGGTTATACAACACTATTTTTTAAACATACATCTTTAGCCACCGACACTCTTGTACTATACTAGCCATTCTTTGGTACAATGGACTGCAAATCTATAGTCAACCCCAAAAGAAAAGGTCATTTGGTCACAGTTCATGCTTCAGACCTCATTTGATACTCTTAAATGAAAAACTGCATAGAGGCCTGAAATGAATATATTGTACCATTAACACGTTTCTTATGTGCTTCTCAGGGTTATAGAGCACGTCATTCAATAAGCCTTCCTATAGTCATTCAATAAGCCTTCCTATAAAACTTCAGTTGACCTTATTCTTACATTCGAACAATAAACAAACAGGTTATCTTTCATATTGATTTGCTTCATTATACAAACCTCATTTTACATATTTGACAAAGAAAAGACATGCTGATTTTCTGGTATACTAAACAACTATGTTGTAAATACCATTTTTTTGAAGGCAATGACAAACAATTTCTGTTTGCTATATGCTTTACCAACTCAAAGACTGTTGTTACACAAAATGTTTTGGCCTCATATAATTACATCTTGTTTGATGTTAATTTGTTGTATTTCTATTAAAACTTTCACGGTTGTTTTATAATATTGTCTAGCCACCAGTCTGCATCATCTATAAATGACAATACTGTGAACCACTGAATTATGCATGCATCTTTCCTGCAAATCAAAACCAAATTAGAATGAAAAATTACAAAAGGAATTTAATGATTATGCTAGGAAGAATTACTTTCCAGCTTTTCCATGTTTCTGCTAAGAATGAATTGCATACAGGTAAATTAATTATTTGGACATCATGACTGTTATTCAGCCATGTAATTTTTAAAAATTTTCTCCATATTAACATTTCTTATCCTAAAATACAGAACAAAATTTCTGTTTTTCTCTGTTATGTTGTGGATTTGTCCATGGAAGTTTCAGAAGATAATACTGCTTAGAATCTGAATACGTACCAAAAGCTGCCACTTTTATGATTATAGCTTGAATGTTAGATGATATCATTTCTTTAAGCAATATTTCCTGGTTCCGACGCCAAAGGTAAGCTAATGGCTGAAGATTAAGCCTTCTGCATCTTAAAAACAAACATAAAAATTGGATAAAGCCAAGCATTATGCTTTTACACATCATGAAGCATGTAAAATTAAATTTCTCTCATTTCCTACCTTTAAATATTTTTTCTTCTACAATTTCAAATACAATACTTTATGATTCCTAGATTTCAGCATATACGTTAAGTCTAATATAAACAAATGAAATAAGCTTGTTCTGACTATAATTCATCTATGTAAGTAAGATGTAACTCACTGATGTAAACAGATTTGCATGGGAACTATGAGCAAACGCATTCCTAAGCCATTAGGGATGCAAACCAATTAAAACCCTACAAAGTGATCACTTTTCATGAATACAGCTAAGGCAAGAGGTACCACTCTGTGATAAATGTGGCACACGTCACTAATACAATATGGTGAATTTGTTACACTCAACCTGTGATTTGGATCCACACCTAAGGAAAAGAATCAGTCAGGAAAATGTATACAGCTTGTGATACAAAGTAACAACTTGTAAATGTAAATTTAATTATTTGTTTTGATACATATCATATTTAGACAGCATTTGATGCACAGCATTTGATTGTTTATCAAATTAGAGAATCACTAATTTGCATTATTGATAGGTAACCTTTCTGCAAATTGTCAAGTACCATCAGTTGGTGATAAAATGTGTAACGCCTAGCTCCTGAAAAACCTAAAAACATTTAACTATGAGATTAGCTCAGAGCACTCAAAATTACATTTACTTGTCAATTATCATTGTTTATCTAATATATGAGCTTTCTCCCATATATGGGCTTTCTCCCATATGTTAGATAGACCCACTAGTATTAGTGTCGAGACTTTATAGTTAAATGAATGTTTAATGTTGACATGTAAATCCATAGCACCCATATAATCTGATTGGTTTTGTTATTACTTTCATATATTTTAACAGAGTACTACATTGTGAAATTAACAGAAATACTTAGCAATTCTGAATGCAAAGTAGTTCATTTAGGTGCCTAACTTTAGCTAACAAATTAGCTGAATCTAAGTAACCAGAATAGTTTATGTGAAACTTCTTTATTGCAAGGGGTAAATCTACAGAGCAATGTAAAATTTTTTTACCACCGAGTGACCTTGGAACTAATCAGGTCTGTTTGAAATATTGTCATGTCCTGTCAATCTTTTGACTGTGGTAACAGATCTGAAACCCACAATGAACAAAAGCAATCTTTTCTAAAATATCTAGTAACATGTTCAGGCAGTCATTTAAATGTTTTAAGTGTAAGGGAAAATAAAAAGAAAGGAGCTATTTCTGACTGCAGTTTACCTACGTAAAGCGTAAAGAAAACACCTATGCTGTGTAACTTGCTGATGTGAGTCAAGTTGGCACAGCATTAACTTCACCGTTCTCACAGTTCATTTCAGATATTTGCTTTTATCATCAACAAATAACTAATGACCTCATGAAACAGTAATTAATTTTTAACACAAGGTGGTTTTGCTTTTCATCAGACATACATAGCAAAAAATTTCTTCCAAACCCAAATCAAATCTTGGCCTACATAACACACACAATTCCCATTACATAATCCTTTTTTTAATTAAGACTCTTAAAAATATCGCAATCTATCTAGATTTAAAGAGTGTGCAGGTAAAATTACAAATGAAAGCTCTTGATTAATGACAACAGATTTTAGATTTTAAGGAAGTAAGGGAAGATACACACATAAGGATTCTCTTGCATGTCATTCCTGATAGCAAGTCACAGGATGTTCCTCTATATTAAAACTCTGTTGAAAAATAGAGATACTTGACCACAACACTGCAGTCACTGGAACTGAGTGAGCTTTCTGTTAAAATCAAAGATCCAAACCTACTACTCAACTATTTTCGTATCCAAACCCTGAGTATTTTCAACAGATCCATGAGAGACCTGAAGAGCAATCAAAAAATCCAGTATAGTCTCTATTGGATTTTTACTAATGAACACATGGTTCCGGGGCGGGGGGGGGGAAGAAGAAAATAAATAAGCTACTTATTTTAACAAATTGAATGAATTGGTTATCACAGAACATGAGAAATAAAGCAACTGTCTCTGCTCCAGAATTTGGGTTAGAAAACAAAAAAGTAAAGAACTTTCCAGAATGTGTATATTAATAAAGATTAGTATTTTCTTACATATCTTCAACTCGAACTCTCTGGTAGTCAGAAAGAATGGCTCCCACAGATACACCCTCCACTCCTTCTTTGTCCTGAAAAAAGACATTGAATACTAATGATAGAGGTATATGCTGGCCAAAGCAATAGAGATTCGGTACTTCTACTAGCAGAATCAACCAAGAATAAAAATCTTTTTCCCTGTGCCCAAAACCTGGAACTGAATGGACTTGAATGCAGATCTCGCACAGAAGAGAGCACCACAGCTGACCTGCTACGTGGTTATTACTCTAACACAATGATCTACTCAAGTATCATTCTACGGAAGAAATAACCAGGATAACTGAAAAGTACTGGATTTAACAGCTTATCCTAAGGTTTTCCTGACATTCTGAAAATTACTTCCAGCTCTTCACTGTAACTGATGTGTTAGCTATCCCACCTACAAATAAACAGCAACATACAATCATGATGATTAATTAAACTGTTAGCATTTGTCACAATACACAGTGCAAGAGGGTGTGAGATTACTCTTTCTATCCCAACACCAGAACAAGAAAAGTCACAGGCAACTTACGCAACATCACCTTTTAAAAATTCTGTTATAAAAAAAGGTTTTCCAAGACATATTTTCTCTGTTTCATTTCAATTACCTAAGTCAACAGTACTTTATTCTTTTTCTTGTAAACACGTAACAGAGAATGTAACATTTGAAAACGCACATACTTACAATATTTCATGAGCTCTTGCATTTTTTTGCTTGAGTCCCAATTAACACGTGAAATTTACTTTCTTTTCCTAAAATTTGCTCCAGCTAGACTTTAGTTAAATTTGTTTTCCTATTTTAACCAAGGTTGTTCATAACTACACAGCATGACTTACCTTCTGGACCTGTTCAGTTAGAGAGCAATCCTGTCAAGTCTGCAGCCAAGATTTTACCACAAAATTTTCAATTATATACCTATATATGAATTTCAAAATCAAATCAGTCTTCACTTGCCATGGTACTGAATTTAAAATCAGTTTTCACTTCCTTATCAATAAAATGTTGCAGAAGGTGTTTTATGCATAATTATATTGTAGTGAAAAATTTCCTGGGTTATGTCTGCCTGGGATATTGTTTCCTCCATCTATTATCTTATTCTTCTCTACATTAATTCTCACCTCACATTTGCCCAATCAAATTCCTAAGTTATTTATACCCATCTATACTTCTGATTTATGTGTCACTGTATTTACCAAAATTCCTAGCTACGGTAACCTGAAATTTATATCACTGTTCAATTTATGTACTTCTACATGTCATTAATGGACATATCATTTAATATGAAACGTAATGCCAAATCATACAGGATTCAGGTTGCTGTTTCTCACATATCCAGAAGTAGTAGTACTGATTATTCACTGCTGGTATTATCATTATTATTACTATTATCCACCCAATATTACTTCTGCTTCTCTTTGAGAAGTAATACTGTGCAACAGTATTTCAAAGCTCTTTTCAGAATAAAGATAAAATCACAGACATTTCCACTTACTCAACTCACCATGTCAAATTACATTTCTTACAAATTTAACATAGTTGTGTAAGTAGAGTTTAAGTAAATTTGATAAAATGATTCATGAAGCCTTCTTGGATCTTCAAGTACATCTGAGATGTTTTCTCCATACTCCTTTGTTTCATGCAATTTTGATATGCAGTTTACCTAAACTGCTACAATGGCACTTAAGTTGCATTCTTCAAAGTTCTTTTTATAAAGATTATAAAGTTAAGTCGCATAACAGTCCTGGAAAACATGACAGCTCAGTATTGCTTGTTTGTATGTTTATGTAAAAAGAATTCCTTCAAAATGCAATGTTCAGACATCACCCAACATGTCCAGAAACATTACCTGTATTTCTGTTTATGTGAACAATTAATCACAGGCAACATATCCTCAAATAATCATGAATAATCATCAAGTGGTCCATGTCATGATCTGACATCATGAAGCAAGATTATTAAACAATACATTAAATATTAACTGTCCATATTTCCAAGTCACCGCACATCTTTCTGTGTAAAGCACTGAAGCAGCCTGTATCCCTTTCTGCTCAACACACTATGATATCTTTGTAATGGAATCACGGAATTGGAACAGCTGAGGCTTCTCACTTTTGCAACCAGACTTGGGACTCCTGCTGTGAAGTACATCCAGACTATCAGACACTAGGACAATATAAGGTAATAAAACTGAATGCCTTTAAAGGGAGAAAAATATTCAACTACAGAAAGGCATAGGGGAAGACAAAACCAGAAAAACACTGCAGAAAAGCATGTGCAGTTATGTGATCATAAAGCAGACCAGGGACTCGGGGCCAATGGCAAGGGAAGAGTAAAGCAGACTTAGCCTACGATCCAGAGAACAACAACAAAACCAAAATGAAAACCACAAGGAACTTCTACAATCACCTCCACGACCTCACAGTGTTAGAGATACTGAATGTTCAAATGCTGTTTCATTACTCCTTCTTCATGCAAGGTAGTATAACAATACAAACGATACACCACATCTAATATATCAAGAACTCCAGCATGTATGTGGGGTTTCTAAAGCTAGCCACCAATGTAGCAGCTACTACTGGCAGTACAGCTACACTAGAAAGCTGTTCAAAACAGTATTTCTTACTTCATGGAACACACTAGCTTCAATGATCACAATAAAAACAAGCAAAATCTGGAAAAAAGCCAAACCAAAGAATTTTTCAGATTTCTACTTATTGAGATTACCAGAATTGTTTTGCTTTCATTAAATTAACAGCATGTGAATATATTAGCGGTACATTCTACTAAACAGAGCTGATTCTAATTCAATCATTACTTTTTTTCAGATTCCATTAAGATACAAATCAATTTGTTCTTATGAAGAACCATGTGCAAGAGAAAGTCACTAACTGATAGAAAACAACAATCAAACGCTACATTTTTTTAAGACTACACACATACAGTAACAGTACAGTTGACCTTTCGGACTGAATCCATCACAGTATGTTGACATCGAGACATGCTTAGTGGTAAGACTGTAATCATTCCTTTCGATTTGAGTAAGATGTTGCCATTAAGTTCCACGTGCTCCAATTTACAGGACTTTGCCAGTTAAAAAGATTTTTTATAGTCACACAGTAAATAATTTTAACTGTATTTAACTATATGTATATATTACCACATTACACATACATATATGTGTGTATACTACATTTTAAATTTTTTTTTTTTTAAAAAAGGGACTCTTCCTTGCCACAAATTCAAAGACTGAGACATAGTTGAACTTTTGGAAATAGATTGTAGCAATGCAAATAATGCCTGCAGTGGCCCTATCATACAGTTCTAATTTTTACCCTTTGGCAAACAACAGTCACTACCACAGAACTAAATGGAGGTCACCAAACTTTGAAATTATTTTTGTTTAAGGACTTGGCATCAAAAGTATCAATTTAAAAATACTTATCTAGCACACATGTTTTTAAGCTTTTATTGAGTATTAGCAGCAGCAATAATTTTAAGTTATTGAGAATTCTTATTCTTACTATAATTTTGAACAGTTAAGTTTACAAACTTTTCCAGCATAAAATTGTATTGCCACCAATTCTTATATACAACAGGAGACTTTTTTTTAAATTATTTTTTTTGCTAAGAGGTTCACTTGAAATATTCAGGACTTTTCATGACTGTTTCTGTTTATAACCTGTAACACATACACTTCTCTTTCCTTACCAAAACCAATAATATGTTTACTATTATCACCACAATATTTATTATAGTGCAGTGCAAATCTGTTGTTACCACAACAGTTTCCATCATATATACTCTTCTTTCTCTAAGAATGGGAAATAAATAGTTGTATCGGAGATATAAGATGAGAGTAACTATATCACAAACTTCAAAAAAAGAGGTGATCCTCATGATAAACAAAAATGCAGTGAAACGAATACCTGCAGGACTTCCTTTCCTGATTTCCCAAATACACAGATTCACAGAATCTCCTGTTCATCCATAAAGATGGCAACTGACTTGCCCAATACATTTTTTAACAAGCTCACAGAGCAATAAACATTTGTTGTGTTTTTTTTTAATTAGTTCTGTTTTTCAAATTCTCACAAAATATATACATCAGCAAAGATACTCAGTAAAAAAATTCCCTCAATTTTAAAAAACCAACAGTACCTGGAAGTAGAGACATAAATGTCCGGTTCTTATATGAACACAATACTTCTATACTGAAATTAACTTCTTCGCAGACCTATTTGTTCGAGATTTTAAAAATTCTAGTCCTGAATCCCAGGAACTTTCAAAATCACCCTACAGCAAAGGAATCTAAAAAGTCATTATAATCTTTAAGGTCACAGAACTTCTATTAAAGAACTGTTGGAACAATGGCTCAAACTTGAAATTTAAATATCAAATAGATTACTCATAGGTTTTGTTTTGGGTTAGTTTGTTCTTCAATTATACATTTAGAGGGTGGATGTGCACGTGTATGAAGGCATATATATGTACACATATATGTGTTTGTATATATACATACACACATATATATACACACATGCACGTATATATGTACATATGTGTACAATATATCTTGACGTTAGTACCAAAAGAACAGAAGACTGTCATTGGCTGCTTGCTTACAAGCTACATTAAATCTGATTTAAATAATCACATACAAGATGTTCTGCACTTATTCTGGTTTATTTCCTTTGATAATATGTAAGTTTTGATCATCTTTTGAAATGGCAGCACATCGTGTCATTTTTCAGTTGTGGTTAGCATTCACATTTAAAGACTTTTGACAGGGAGCTATTCACCATCATCACTTTTCATTTAGTTCTTCTGATGGTAAAGAGCAAATAGAATCTTCCATCACTGTCCAGACAGCAGCTTCCAGAAGAAGAAACATCAATATACTTAATAAATGCTCTGAAATGGGAGAACTAGTTAATATACTTACATACCATGAAATGGAATAAATTCAATCCCCTATTCTGTACAGGTCAACAAATCAAGGTTGGAGTGGCACAAATTCAAGAAGGAAGAAGATTTGAAAGGAAGAAGGAT